AGATGCAGGGCGTGATGTTTTCATAGATAGAGCCTGGTGAGATGATCACTGAGTTAATCAGCATGTCCATCACTCCCACTGCACCTCCTGGCTCTGGTGAGAACCTCTAGGCCACTTTCAAGCACACAGTACAGGGTCATCACCCGGACCTGCTCCCACTGTGTCTTCCTTGGGTCTCCAGCATGGACCCTCTTACACCCCGTGAAAGATGAATGGTTACAGGAGGAGATGAGTCCCTCCACAGACCGGGGCAGACCTGCTGGTACACGCCAGTTCTTGGGGGACATGCCCGAGTGACAGGGTGAGGAGGGCTCACTTTCCCCTGCCAGTGGCCCGGCCCCATCCGGGCTGCACCCGCTCCCTGTGTCTCTGTGCTGGTGGAGACAGACAGACAGACACCCCACACACGGGCTTGCCTTAAGCCTGTAGTCCCTTCCCCGGTGAGCCAAGGACTTTGCCCAAGAATAAAACTGACTTCTTTCCCCACTGCAGGGTCACTCCTGACTTTTCTATCCCCAGATTCCCACGGCCTCTCGCGTGTGTGCGCTGAGCCCCCGCCCACCTGCCCCTGACTCAGCTGCTCCCCTTCCCTACACCCCTCCCCCACTTCCAAATCCAAGCCTGCATCTTCTGCTCATCCTTCTCTTCCCATCCCCTGCTCCAGGTCCTCACACCGCTACTTCCCATGCTCCGTCAGTTCTTCGCAGCCCTAGAGCTCCACCATCCCCCCAACCCCAGCTGCTATGCCAAGCTTCTGCTCCCCAAAGTCTGGCCAGACTCCAAGGAAACACTTATGCATTCTCACTTCTTGGAGTTTCTCTCCTCCGGTTCACTCATTCATCTCTACAGAAGGGCTTGGGGTCTCCTGACTACACATAAGCAACTCTTGTCAGGATCACGGCAGCGTCTGTTAACTACTAGCTGCATACCAGCAGTGTCTACTCATTGCAGCCACCTTCCAAGGCTGGGCACAGCTGCCATCTTGGACACAGCCCCAGTGCAGCCTGCCATGGTTCCCTGGACTGCCCAACTCCGGCTGTCCTTCTCTCTTCTCCACCAGCTGAGCGCCTGTTTCTCCTCCAACTCAGTAGCTGGCTCCTCCTCCCACTGCAGACACTGAATAATCCCGTGGAGTTCCAGGCCTGAATAGCTCCCTGAGTAACACCGGATGGGGTGGTCAGAGCAGAATGAGCACCCAGAGACACCCCGTATCCAGCCTTACCCATCACTGCAAGGCCGTGGGGCAGAATGAAGCCAGGGACTCCACTGTCGGGGCCTTCTTTGGCACGTTGGGATATGTCCCAGGCAAGACTTGAGAAATGGGGCCCCTGAGATGTTCTGGGAATGATCCCCACCTGCCATCTCTCAGTTGACTATGAGCCATCCCGTTATCCATTGCCGTTAGGAAGGGTTTCTTCTGTCCCCTGAGCTCTGCGGCACTGAGACATTTTCCAAGGAACCAGGTCCATGGCTTCAGGAAAGCTGAAGGTTTCCTGCAGACTCAGTTCTATGGCTAAAATAACCATTTCAGATAGAGAAGGGAACACCAAATAAAGGGTGGTGCGAGGATCCTCCCCGGATGGGAGAAGCATGCTGAAAGTAGACTATAGTCGGAACATGATTGTCACCCATTGCCTCTTTTGCAAACCACAACACCCAACAAGAGAGAGAGAACAAAGGGGAATACCCTGCCATAGAGGCAGGGTGAGATGGGGGGAAATGGGGGGTGGGAGGGATACTGGGATCCGTGGTGGTGGGAAATGGGCACTGGTGGAGGGATGGGTACTAGATCATTGTATAATTGAAACCCAAGCACAAAAATTTGTAAGTCTACAACCGTACCTCATGATGTCTCACTAATAAAAAATAAATAAATAACCATTTCCGGCAGTTCTAGAAGCTGCCACTGTACAAATGGACCTACAGCATGTTCGCAAAGGAATTTGACTAAATCTTTCTCCCCTGGAGCGTGTAGGTAGGAGCCTCTTCTCCGTCCGGTCCTTCCCGCACCCCCTCTCTGCCGCCATCACCCCAGCTTCCCGGCACCTGTGTCTGTCCCAGTCTCATTCTCCATCCCACGCACCCCCTCCTGGAAGGATGCATTTCCCACTGTCAGTACAAGCTGCCATGGCCCCATGATGCATGCAGGAAAACGTGATTTGTTCTCGCCTGCATCCTCATCCTCCACAACAGCTGTGTGTGGCCCAGACAAACCTCTCCATAAGCTTTGCTCAAACAGGAACATTGCAGCGCCAGGTGTCGGATCACTCAGGCCTGGAGGTTCTCTGTGCTGCTGGCAACTGAACCGAGGTCAGCTGCATGCAAGACAAAGGCCTTTTTCTTTTGGTTTTGGGCCACACCCAGTGATGCTTAGGGGTTCCTTCTGGCTCTACACTCAGGAATTACTCCTGGAGGTGCTCAGGGAACCATAGAGAGTACCGGGGATCAAACCCAGGTCAGTTGCCTGCAAGGCCAGTTCCTTACCCGCTGTGCTATCAGGTCCAGCTTCAGAAGGCAAATGTCTTAACTACTATATTATCTTCCTGGCTCTGGAGATGTTGCACTAATTAACAAGTCATCAACTTTCAGCAAAGCCATCTGACTTGGACTGGACCTTGAGGATAATGGGATCAGCAGAGCCAGAACGCACTGCCTTGGGGGCACAATAAGACAGACCCTGAAAATGGAACCTTGGAGCTGGCCTGGATTCTCCAGACAGGAGCTTCAGCCAGGCTGGAGCAAAGCCATGACCCAGTGCCAGAAGCCAGGATTAAGGAAGCCATGATCCAGGGCCGGACCCCAGTACAGCAGGGAGGGTGTTCGTCTTGCACATGGCCGACCCAGCTTCTATGCCTGGCACTGCATTTGGTCCCCGAGCCCGGTCAGGAGTGATCCCTGAGGGCAGAGCCAAAAGTAAACCCTGAGTGCTGCCGGTGTGGCCCAAAACACAAGAAAATCAAATAAAAGTAAACAGGAGATAAAGGAGCTGTGTTACAAGAACAAAGAGAAGTTTGGGCTGTTACCTTCCTTCCAGCTGAATTTGCTCGTTGAGACCGTGAGGGCAGTTGGCAGCTACAGGGGTGGAGGGCTGGGCAGCCAGTCCTCAGAGTGCTTGTTGAGACCCGCTGGCTCCTGGATGGACAGCACTGGTGGCCGGAGATGCTGGATGCAGGCCTAGAACTTGACCGGTCACACAGCCCCCCCCCCCCAATTTGCATGAAATCCAGTTGTTCAATATAGTTAGTGGACGGTGTATTCCAAAGTCAGACTTGGATGAAGTTTGTCTATAAATGGATGGACATGGAGAGCATCATGCTGAGTGAAATGAGCCAGAAGGAGAGGGACAGACATAGATGACTGCATTCATTTGTGACATATATATTGGAAGACTAATATCTAAAGCCAGGGAAAACGAGGGCCAAGAGGACTTGTCAGTGGTTGGAATCAACCACAAGTGTGTGTGGGGCAGAGGGTAGGTAAGGCAAGAGAAGAGTAAGATAAAGTGTGACAATAATAGCTGGGGATGATCCTGTTGGACAAGAACTGAGTGTTAAAAGTAGGTAAAGGGATATTCTCAATGACCTTTCAGTATCTATACTGCAAACCACAATGCCCAAGGGGTGTGGGAAAGAGAGAGAGAGAGAGAGAGAGAGAGAGAGAGAGAGAGAGAGAGAGAAGCACCTGCCATAGAGGCAGGCTGGAAGTGGGGTGATGGGAGGGAACCTGGGGACCCTGGTGCTGGGAAATGTGCCCTGGTGGAGGGGCGGGTGTTGGAACACTGTGGAACTAAAACCTAATCATGAACAGCTTTGTAAGGGTTTGTCTCACAATGATTCAGTTTTTAAAAAAGAAAAGTCGGACTTGGGAAAATCTCTTTGGGACAGACAGATTTCTAGAAATACAGCAAAATGCAGATCTGTTTGGCGAGTGGGAATGGGGTCCCTTTCTGCACTTTGTTTTTTGTCTGTTTGTTTGTTTGTTTGTTTGTTTTGCTTTGCAAACTGCAGACTAATTTTTTTATTAGTGAAACACCATGAGGTACAGTTATAGACTTACAAATTTTTGTGCTTGGGTTTCAGTTATACAAGGATCGAGTACCCATCCCTCCACCAGTGCCCATTTTCCACCATCACTGATCCCAGCATCCCTCCCACCCTCCATTCCCCCATTCTACCCTGCCTCTGTGGCAGGGCGTTCCCTTTTGTTCTCTCTCTCTCCTTTTGGGTCCTGTGGTTTGTAAGAGAGGCTTTGAGTGGCAATCATGTTTGGTCTATAGTCTACTTTCAGCTTCTCCCATCCTGGGAGGATCCTCCCAACACCCTTTATTTGGTGCTCCCTTCTCTATCTGAGCTTCCTTTTCCCCTAGCACATGTGGCTGGCCTCCAAGTCATGGAGCAAAATTCCTGGTACTAATCTCGGCCACTCCTGGGTGTTAGTCTCCCATTTTGTTACTTTATGTTCCCCAGATGAATGCAATCTTTCTGTGTCTATCCCATTCTTTCTGACTCATTTCGCTTAACATGATACTTTCCATGTAGTATCACTTGTATGTGAATTTCATGACTTCATCTTTTCTAACAGCTACATAGTACTCCATTGTGTAAATGTACCAGAGTTTCTTTAACCAGTCATCTGTTCTCGGGCACTCAGTTTTTTTCCAGATTCTGGCTATTGTAAAGAGTGCTGCAATGAACAAACAAGTGCAGATGTCACTTCGACTACACATTTTTGCCTCTCTGGGATATATTCCCAGGAGTGGTATTTCTGGGTCAAATGGGAGATCAAATTCTAATTTTTTGAGAATCGTCCATTCTGTTTTCCAAAAGGGTTGGACCAGTCAGCATCCCTTTCTGCACTTTGGACCAGCCCCGTGCCCATGACCTCCCCAGCCCCTACTGAGACAGAAGGACAGGGGCCCCAATAGCCATCAGCCCTGTGGGGTGGAGCCCAGTGGCCCTAAGTTCAGGCCCCCGCTCCTGACGCCTCTTTGTCGCCCACAGTACAACCGGTACCAGCAGTATGGTGCGGAGGAGTGCGTCCTGCAGATGGGAGGCGTGCTGTGCCCCCGGCCTGGCTGCGGGGCAGGGCTGCTTCCAGAGCCCGGAGTGAGGACCGTCACCTGTGAAGAAGGCAGCGGCCTGGGCTGTGGGGTGAGTGCCAGTCACACCTTAGGGCTCGGCTGTGTGTTTGCGGTGTTGTTCTCTGCACTCGAACTCGGCCGGCTCGGAGCTGGGGTTTGAGCAGAGACGGGGCATCCTGTGGAAGTTTCTGCTCTCCTGGCTTTGCAACGTCATGCTTCTGGGATGGGGGCATCATGGGACCAGACTGCCCCGTTGCTTCCAGTGACAGTGCAGTCAGAGCCAGTTGTTTATTTCTTCCTCTGGGCTTGCCATAGGCAGGAAGGGAGGGGGCTTGGCAATTAGCCCCGTCGGTGATGCTTTGGCGAGGTGGTTGCCCAACTATCTCAAGATAGAAAACGTAGTTGAATACGGAGAACTTGAGATGAACCATAAAAGTCATAGTCGATAAAAACAAAACAAACTAAAGGATGCAGCATCAGAGAAAGGCTTGTTCTAGGGGTTGACCAGTTGACCCAGAGCAGCTTCTCCATCAGCTTTCTGCATGGCGGTTGATGGAACCCAGGAGGGAAATGTGACTTAGATACGAAGTTCATGAGACGTCCCAGAGCTGCCCTGGCTGCCGGCAGGCCAGTGGAGGGTGATCAGGCATGCTGGAGAGTGGGAAAACCGCGGTCTGCCAAGTGCAGTCCATGAGGGGTTTTGTGGCCGGAAAGGGGTATGGCCTGGACAGAGGACAGAGCCTAGCACTAGTGGTCACCAGCCTCTAAAACCATGCAGAAAGCGTACCCTGTGTCACACAGTGGGACTCTAGGGGCTCCAGGCCGAGCGGCCGAGCAGAGGAGAAAGACGATGTCAAAGTCAGAGAGGCAGTGTGGGAGGCAGCACCTCTGTTCTGGCAGGAGAAGGGAAGTTCAGTTATGCTGGCTGATGTAGAGGCCACGGAAGCAAACTGCACTCTCCGTTGGCTGCGTCATTATGCCCCGCACGTGTGGCAGGCAGGCCGTCAGACTCCAGGCCCAGGGAACTCGCTGACATTTGCTTTCCAGTGAGTTGAGTTTGGGGCAGCCCTGGGTGGGGGCAAGGGGGTGTTAGGAAGCTGCTCTGCCTGCTGGCACCTCTGTGGTTCTACTCGCTGAAACTCAATTTCTTCACCAGGTAGGGGCTTCTTTGGCTTATCTCTTATCTCTCCTTGCTCACCTTGACATAAGAATGTTAAAGATGTTCCGCGATGTGAAGTCTCATCAAGGATTGATGTCATTTTGACACCTTCATCTCATTTTTTTTTAATCACGATCACGATCATCCTGTTATTCGTCGATTGCCTCGAGCAGGCCCCAGTAACGTCTCCTTCATCCTAACCCTGAGATTTTCAAAAGTGCCACATTCAAGGCTCTTTCAGGGTTAGGAGAATGAGACCCATCATTGTTACTGGTATTTGGCGTACTGGGAAGGCCATGGGGAGTTTGCCAGACTCTGCCGTGTGGGCAGGTTACATTCGGTAGCCTGCCAGGTTGTCCAAAGCAAGAATGAAATGAAATTTTTTTTAATGCAGTAAGTAAATGATGAACAAGTTTGAAGACCAAATCCTGAAAAGTCACTTTGGAAGTGAGTCGAGGTGCCCTGGTGTATTGGGGCTGCCTCTCAGGGACCAGGGGGAAAGCCCCAAGGCTGGAGCTTTCTATGCTGGAGGCCCGAGTTTGGTCCCCAACACCCCACACTCCTCTGGGCACCGTGAGGAAAGATGTGACACCCACCCCTCTCCCAAACAGGAATCACGTTTCATCCACTGCAGTGTCGCCTAAAGCCGTTTGTTTATACCATCTCCGTTATACAAGAAACGTTACTCTTTGGTCTCACTGCGTCACCTAGGTTCTCTCTGAAGAACCAGGACGGTTCTTCCAGTCTGATCTTAGCAACAGAAGCACCTGTGGAAAGCTGCCCTTGGCATTTTTAATTGGGCCACTGGTAAGATTTCCCTCCAGAGCTGACTGCTGGAACATGACAAGAGCACTTGTAGGTGACTTCTAATGACTGAGTTTGAAGCTCGTGTCCTGGCTTTGCTGTTCTCGTCCCTTCTCTCCCTCCTCCCGCCCCTTTTCCTGACATGTGTCACTTGACCAGGATCTGCCTGTCTGTGAGTGACCCTCTTCTGTGGCCTTTGAGACAGTAAGGAAAGCCACTGGATGGGAGGGATTGTGACGCATTTATGTTGGGTCAGAGTCAGAGCAGGCCCGTCAGCAGAAGTCAGAGGAGGGTAAAAGTCTCTGCAGCTGTTCCCCTACTCGGTGCCCAGCCAAGCAACCAAGGGGCTCGCTCAGGAAGGAGAGCGCCTCCTGCGGCAGCATCAAAGAAAGGCACAGCCAGCAAAGCGGGAGGAAGTCTCGGGTGTGGAAGAGGCCCCGAGTTAGTTGGTAGCCTCCATGTGTGACTCGGTGGTTGTCATGGGAGATCTACGCGAGCGCCCCCGCTCCATCTACCTTCAGCTAGTGACAGATTCCAAAGGGGGGATTATTCTACAGGCAGCCAAGACACCTTGGTGTTGAGGAAAGATCTCATGGGCAACAAGACAGAAAACCGAGTGTTCTGTCGCATGTGGGATTTAAAACTCGACCCTCCAGAGCACTTTGATGTGCCCGTGAATGTACCACAGGAGCTGGGCCTGAGCCACGGGGGAGCCCAGACGTTCTTACTCAGCCTCACTCAGCTCCCAGCACCCTCCGCCAGGCCCCCACAAATCCATGCGTGCCGTTATCTGTGGCTCCATCAGGCTTGTTTAAAATAGGTGCTAAGGTTCGCATTTACGACCCTTAGGTAGTAATGTCTGTTAGACAATCAGATCAGCCTTGCTCTGCTCTATCCCTAGCCTTAACTGTTATCTGGAGGGGACTATATTTTAGCTAATAAGCAGAGATAAGGATTTCCACTTAAATGATAATGTCAGTCCGTCTACAAATGGCCTGATAGATGTATGGTGTTCTTAGGAAATTGATTGCCGTTATAAAGAATTGTTTGAGATTAAGTTTCGTGAGCTCCCAGGATTCAAGTTCAAGTGTTAACACTTGTTTCATGTCTTTTTCTGCCTTTTCTCGGTATTGATATTCTTGTCCTCTGTAAATCTGTGTATTTGGGGTTCAACCTTCATTGAATGAGTAAGTGAAAGGCAGCAATGGAGAAGTAATTTGAATACAGTCTCGCCTTTATGTTTAAGTATCGATCATCACTTACTTTTAGCTTACCTTGGCATGAACCTCTTCAAAAAGCATTTAAGCACTTCCTCATACTTATACAATATACATTGCTTTAATTACACAGCTAGTGTGTAATGCAGAACACAAAATAGATAAAGTTTGATGGCCCACAGAAAGTCAATTAAGAACCTTAGCATAACGCACACATAAGAGTTTATCAGCCCTCACAAAGTCTCTGTGGCCAAAGAAAGGATTCTATACGTTCTAATATATAGGACGTCCTAGTCTTTGAAACATCGGGCTTTCATTTTGACATAGCCCAGAATATTTTCCGATTGATATGCAGAGCTCACCAAAGAAGGTTTGAGTATCAGCCAACTGGTCTCACATCATTATATTTTTACTACTGCTCATAAAAATATTAATTGATTCTTCAGAAATTCAGATTATGCAGTACAATTTTCTCTGGATTTCTTTTTCTTTTTTTAATTTAATTTTATTTTTATATAAAATTCTATAAAGTCTTTCACAATGATTTATTACATTCAATATTTCAACACCAATCCCATGACCATTATACCTTCCAACCACCATTATATCCAATTCTCCCAAACACCACCCAATCCTGCCCCCAAAGCAAGCCTAAATAATTTATTTTGTATTTCTTGTTATAAATAATTCACTAAAAATACTCAAAAAAGATTTCTTAGGTGAAAGTGTGTAAAGATTATTGCACCTCACCCTGGAGCAACTAAGCCCATGTGTAAGAGATGACTAACATGTTGTTACAAGGTAAGCCTGTGTGCTCATATTTTCTTGATGGAGATTGGTTGCCTTCTGCTTTACATCCCATCCAATATGGTGTGCTACGCCTGGTATATCAGTGGTGTAGAGTATGAGATGTCAAGGAATTCTTAAATTTTGAATGGGATGATACAGCTGGAGGTAAATTTTTAACTGGATGGTGACCTTGGGGCCCAGAAACTGTGACTGAATTCTGGCCTTGAGCATGGTGGTGATTAGATTATAGAGATTTTATAGAGATTTTCAGCTGCTGGGGCTCTGTTTGGGTGGGTGGTGGGCGCATCCGCCCCCCTCCAGGGTGCCCCGGATGACACTCAGCCTGGCACCAGGTCTGGAGATATCTCTGCAGCTTGCTGATATCTCTCAAGATGTATTTAGGAGTCTCTGGATCATGACTGGTTAATGAGTTTATTTGGTGCCAGAGGTAGTTCATGGTCCTGACTTCCAGGCTCCTGGAAGAATGGGTGGGGGGGGGGGGGGGGGGGGGGGAAGGGGACTGGCTCCCCCATCCCCAGCTCTGTGAGAATCTGGAGATTTCAGTGACAAAACCCACATACCTGAGTTTTTCAACAGATTCATCCCTGGATGAGGTTTGCCCAGAACCTGTGGAGTCCAGCTGTGAGCATGGTGGCAATTGGATTATGGAGGTTTTCCACTGTCGGGGGTCTGTTTGGGCTGGTGGTGGCCCCCCCACCCCCCACCCCCCTCTCCCCAGATGCTCCAGATGAGGCTAAGCCTGGCATGGGGTCTTCAGGCGTCTCTTTCTCTTGACTTAATTGTCATTCATCAAAACTTTGATAACTCTAAAGCAAAAAAAGTATTGACTTGCTTAATACTAGAAAACAGCAGCAAACTCTGGAATAAATTATACCCACTGACATAGGAATAGAGAGCACTATCCCACTGAACCTTTCATCTTATTTGGCATTGTTTGGGGATATTACCCATCTGGGAGGAAAGATTATAAAATGATACTGTGAGTTGGGTGAGAGATTGTCTGTTTTAAGTGAGAAATCCAGGGCAAAAGTTAATAACAGTGGAAGAATTCATCAAAGTAGATGAGAACTGGAGCTCTTT